GGGCAACCCATCTTCGAGAAGAAGAGTTTTAAAAAAACGGCAGAAAAAGAATAATAAACATTACAATAAGAAAAGGCTTTCGATGCTGAAATGCAGATATTTTAAATAATTCAGAACAACAAAAAGTACTCCATCATTAACAATATATGATTTTTTCAGCCTATGTCACCAGGCTAGATTTTGAGATATTGCATAATATCTCTGCCATTGAAACCTGTGGTAAAAGCGTTATAATACTGTCAAAATGGCGATTTTCCACTAAAATAAAACCATCAATTTCTCGAAAAAAAGGCTGGTGACACCCAACTTTTTTTAGGTCAATATCCTTATATTGCCTTAGAGCACAATTTATTGCAAAATGAATAAATTCTGGGTTTTTTAATTTATGAGTAGGCTTCTACCTTAATGGGTGAAAAGGACAGAAAGATTATAAACCTACTGTATTTGTAATAATTATGTGTTGTCTTGTAGCAGCCTTAGATAAAAACACATAAATTGTGTGGTTCCAATAACATGAACCTCCAAAAAATATTTTTTTTTTTAATTAAATTTGTTCGTCTTCATTAGACATCATTTTAGTTTGGTTATCAAAAATACACACATTTTTTTCATTCTGTCTTAGCACAGGATTCATGGCATGTACCGGTACATTAAATATATCATGAATTTATTAGAGTGCTTGAACCTGCTATTCTTCTTGGTCTTGGTATCTTTGAACAAAAATCTAGTGCACTATTAAGCTAGCAACTTGTAATATTGTACGCCCAACTCTTACAACTTTATTAGTCAAGGTCTAAGTTTGGAAATACACCCGCTGGCTGGATATAAACCTACATCCAAATTTTATTGAGATATCATCACATGACACTGGTTAATTTTATGGATATGGCTATACCCTTTATTCCTGTTCCAATACTTTGGTTCAGTTGACCAAAGTAATTACTGAACATAGAATAGTTTTAAAAGAATACATGCAGTCAGTGCCTTTAATTTTCTCACTGAGAAGCACAAGTACTCAGTTTCAATTTCATACATTTTGTATTCAAAAACACCCGATCCAGTATTAAATTTACTAAAAGGGAATCGAACATAGTGTACTGTGTTAAATTAAATCCATCATTGCCAAATATTGAGAACTTATTTTAGGTACAGGTATCAATTATTCACATTCAAAAAATCTAATTGTAAAAAAAAAATAAAAATCCCGCTGAATGACCATATGGAATACATGTACGTACCACTGCCTCGTGAAATGTCAAAATATTTTCGCTTTGCCATAACAAAAAGTTATATAACACAAATGATGCATATATATATATATTATATATATATATATAAAACAAACGGAAACGTGAGTGTTGATCGATCTTACCGCGGATAAAGGGAATGTGATCTTACCTTCCGATGACAACGTACGTGTAAGCATGAAGTTAGATAATATATTTAGATATAGTTTCACGTTTACATTTACGTTTAAAAATAGCCATGAGCCCACATACTACATCCATGTAAAATCAACACCCGCGAATAACGCGATAAACCCTCGTCATCAGCGTAAAATACATACATGTAGACGGAAATGATTTTTTCCCAGAGAAGTGCGAGCACAGCCGGCGTTTTTTTTTTCTTATGACAATCGACAAAGTGACAGTTCACTGTCACGAAATAAAATACAAATCATCTTGTTTTAGAATGTGTTTACGAGTAACGACATCTTGCGGAGTGTGGAAATGTGGTCGCTTTTCGTCGAGACGCCCTGCCGACCATCAAGAAAGTCCACGTCACGATTTGAGGATTTCACGCCATGCGGTCAAAGTTGAAAGCTTAAAGTTCGTGTTACATGTCAAAGGTCACCAAGATGTCTGCCATCGAACGAGAAAAAGAAGGTGAGTAACCCAGTGTTAATAATTAATTTTTAAGGAATTGTTCCTATTATTGATATTATTTTTCAACAACTTAGACCCATTTTGTCCCTATTGTTTGTAAACAAAACAACGAGTAACCACTAAGGATTAAACCATGGACTGTGGATCTATGTATGCGAACACGATTCAGTCTTCACAAGTCCACAGTCTATCTGTATACTTGTACTAAAATGACCACCCTCGCTTTCCCAATGCATTTTCAGGTGATAATAATCAATCTTTTGTTATTAGTTTACCTTTAAGTGGTCGCCAAACCTTCAAATATTGCATTTTTGGGCGACTTCTTCAACGTTTTGTGTGAACAGCTACAACTGGTTCGCGGCTGTAACAGTTAAAGGGGAACCGATACTATAAATAGGGGGCAAGATGGCCACCGTATTAGTATGCTAATCCGAACCAAGCTGCTAACATTGTGGCGAGAGCTCCGTTAAATGTGCTATTTGAGTCTACGGTAAAATTGTTTTGACTGAATGCTCTCATCTATCTCGCCGTTCAATTGATTTTGTCTGTAAAGTCAACCCCACGTTCACCTGCTAGACCACAATTACTCAAATCTCACACGAGATACTAGCCCTGAGTACAGTCGCATAGACCGGGGATTAGACACTATTGTGAAAGAGTGTATCGGGCGATTTAAGAGGCATTCAGCTTTGCAGTTAAAAAATAAGCAGGTCGATACGTCTAACTATTCTAAATATCTTAACTGGAAGCAAAATTACATAAGATTTCCCACTAGGGTCGATCAAATCACATTTTCCAACGTCAACCGAAAATATACGCTGCCATCTTGTTCTTGACGTATTTATAAACAAAACGTTGTTTCGTTGCGTAAAACTAGCTTTCACCAACGTTCCAGTGCTGTAGGTTCATTTTTCAGCCACGCTAGATTAGTCGATAGAAGTTTTAGCTGGTTACAATCATGAAAACTGCAGAACGATTCTCCGCCATAAATTTGTAGGCGGGTGTCGAATCCTCAGTCTATGCGACTTCTCAGGACTGTGGGGGGCGAATGATCAACAGAAAGAGGCCAACCTACAGGACTGTACTCAGGGCTAACGAGATACAAGCTTTTTAATACTAATGATTTTGTTATTTTATCACGGGAAATTTCTGTGTAGCAAGTTTTGCTCTCAGTTTTACTGTATACGTGATCAGTACCGTCAATAGACCGACGCAACGGAAACAGACAAATATACTTGAGTTGGTGGATTTCCTTCGCGACCATTTAGCAACAATCAGGTTTTGTGTTTAATATCCGGTGAACTATCATCAACTTGAATTATTCTAGTTCCGCGTCATATTTGCCCGTCGATGTATATATTACGGAGCGCGCAATGTTTCAAATCATGGCATATGAAGCTAGCTCTGTGTTTGCCGCAAATAACGTGTACTTGGTTTGAAATTGGATAGCTTCACGCCAAATGTATCTCCTCCTACAAATTTAGGATAAAACATCTCAGATATAGCTCATTTTACTCAGCTGGAGTGTGGGCACAAAGTCACTATTTGAATTTTTGATATCTTTTTTCATTACCGAGAAATTTGACTCCATAGTTGGGGTAACTGTTCACCAGGAATGGCTTTTTAACTCTTCTGTGACTTTTTTGGCTGGGCCGATTTGGTTCAAACTTGGTAGGCAAGTCACACCTTCACTCTAGTTAGGTTGTAAAATCTGAAAACAAATTCTGGCCCACCGTTTGCATGGCAACAGCCAAAAAACTGATTTTATTGTATACCTTCGCGTCAAATGTATCTCACGCTACATTTCTACAATTAAGTAGCTCATTCTACTCAGCTTGAGTGTGAGCATAAATTTACTGCTTTTGTTATGTCTATTTTCATTACCGAGAAACTTGACCTCAAAGTTGGGGTAACGTTTCACCAGCAACGTCTTTTTACTGCTCTGTCAATTCTGTTTTTTTTTGGCTTGGCTGATTTTGTTCATACTTGACAGGCAGGTCGTACCATCACTAATTGAAAAAAATCTTGGCCCTCCACCGCCATGGCAACAGCCAAAAACTGATTTTTTAATACTTTCGCTCCAAATTGTTTACCTCCTACCAGTCTTGTAATAGCAGTGTTCATATGATCATGTTTTTAGCTTCGCTGTCGACTTTGTCGAGCGGAGCTTATCATATGAGTGATTGTCCGTCGTCGTCGTCGTCGTCCGTGTCAATGTTTTACTTTTTTGACTTCTTCTTGAAAACTACAAGCCTGAATGCTTTGATACTTGGTGTATATGTACCTTGGGTAGACCTCTCTTAGGTTTGTTCATTTCATGTTGATATCTTCAATTCTATAATTTTGGTGAATATTTTTGTCATTTTTGGTAAAAAGTGATATTTTCGACTTCTTGTTAAAAACCGCAAGTGCAATTGCTTTGATATTACATATATAGGTACTACATGTGGACCTCTCTCAGATTTGTTCATTTTGTAATGATATCTTTAATTCTCTAATTTTGGTGAATATTTTTATCATTTTTGGTAAAAAGTGATATTTTCAACTTCTTGTTAAAAACCGCAAGTCCAATTGCTTTGATACTACATATATAGGTACTACATGTGAACCTCTCTCAGATTTGTTCATTTCGTGATGATATCTTCAATTCTCTAATTTTGGTGAATATTTTTGTCATTTTTGGTAAAAAGTGATATTTTCGACTTCTTGTTAAAAACCACAAGTCTGATTGCTTTGATATTACATATATAGGTACTACATGTGGACCTCTCTCAGATTTGTTCATTTTGTGATGATGTCTTCAATTCTCTAATTTTGGTGAATATTTTTGTAATTTTTGGTAAAAAGTGATATTTTCCACTTCTTGTTGAAAACTGTAAGTCCGATTGCTTTGATATTACATATATAGGTACTACATGTAGACCTTTCTCAGATTTGTTCGTTTCGTGATGATATCTTCGATTCTATAATTTTGGTGAATATTTTTGTCATTTTTAGTAAAAAGTGATATTTTCGACTTGTAAAAAACCAATAGTCTGATTGCTTTGATATTACATATATAGGTACTACATGTGGACCTCTCTCAGATTTGTTCATTTTGTGATGATATCTTTGATTCTATAATTTTGGTGAATATTTTTGTCATTTTTGGTAAAAAGTGATATTTTCGACTTCTTGTAAAAAACCAATAGTCTGATTGCTTTGATATTACGTATTTAGATACTACATGTAGACCTTTCTCAGATTTGTTCATTTCGTGATGATATCTTCGATTCTATAATTTTGGTGAATATTTTTGTCATTTTTGGTAAAAAGTGATATTTTCGACTTCTTGTAAAAAAACAATAGTCTGATTGCTTTGATATTACATATATAGGTACTACATGTGGACTTCTCTCAGATTTGTTCATTTTGTGATGATATCTTCAATTCTCTAATTTTGGTGAATATTTTTGTCATTTTTGGTAAAAAGTGATATTTTCGACTTCTTGTTAAAAACTGCAAGTCTGATTGCTTTGATACTATACATATTGTTCATTTTCTAATGATGTCTTCAGTTCTTTAATTGAAATGTGCATTGCTAACAGCGGAGCTATCTCAGCCGATAGGCTGCTTGTTTTTTTTTATTTTGGCTACGTTGTGCACTGGTAAGAGATCACTGGCGCCAACATTGTTACACTGTATCAACGTAATTCACTTTGAACTGTAAATGCTGCCTTCAATCTAGAAAATACTATCGCAAAACGGTTGAAATAATAAATTTAACAGCAGAATACACCCTAGCAATAAAATAAAGTGACTTCTAAAGACTGAATGCTTTTTTGCGAACTTCGTATATGGGGCCCGGTTTAAACAGACGTTAGCTTCATATGGCAACAGCTGAAAACATGTTGTTTGTTTTTGAGCGGAGCGGGTCGCCAACCGGCCTACCGGCTTGTTTTATAAACTGGCTTGGCAATTCCCACCACCAATTAGACCATGTCATAGCATTCCAGCTACTTTTTCAACAAATCCTAAATCACTTGATAATTTTGTTTACTTTACATTTGTACTATGAGTTCACAACAAACGGTTTTGCAATATTAGAGGCTGTGAATTTGTCCATGGAGGCTGTAAATTAATAAATATTGTATTCACTGACATTGTATTCACTGACAACGGTCAGTAAATAGGTCAGTATGTTAATTCCATTTTGCAGTATATCGTAGACAGTACTTGTATACGTTGTTATCCAGCATAAATATCGGATTGTTCAAAAGCATGTAATGTCATTTTCGTTCATTAATGTTGTATGATGACGCTTTCTCCGGGGCCTTCAGAGTCCCATAGTATCTGTATCTGTATACATGTCCCGGCCCGTTTATATTGAATATTGAAAAAACAGAAACCTAAAAATCAGTTGCCCATGCCAAGAGAGCCGCAGAACCAAAACAATCTGTCAGCCGTCGCCGTCCACAGCAGTGATATGATTTTACACCTCGAAATTGAGTATCGCAGGTGTAGACATATTGCATAGGAATGAGGACACTAAATACATCTTTCCCGGCCAGAAATCGAATCATCAATCTTCATGAGTGACATAACTGGCATTTCCATCTATTTGCTTCTATTCCCACTATCCTAGAACACTCAAGTGAATGTTGTCAAATTCGCGAGTGTGCGTATTTTCGTACAGTGGCGTAAACATTGCTACAATCAAAGACGCAGTGACCAGAAAGTCCATTCTGGGCTAGTACCATTGTCAAATTCTGGGGAGTAGAAGACTATTTATATAGAAGACTTTACAATAAGGAACTATTAAAATTGTTCGATTTGCACATTAAAATATTTTATTGGAACAGAGCATGTTCTATATTCACCAAAAAACAAAGTTGTTATGTTTCTGGAGACACAACAGCCTCGAAACAATAGAAACCGCTCGATCCGAGCGACCTGCGTTCTTGAAAATCAAGTCGTATTGCTCTTGCGTTTCCGAGCAAAAAAAACATTGAGACCAAAAACGACCGATTTTCGCCCAATCTTCTATGAATTTTTCATAATATAGCTAATTCAGTCCAGCGGTTAGATAGGGTATTTATTATAGACGCCCGGTGAACCAAAATTTAGGATGTGAATCGCTCCGGCGACGAAAAATTGGCGAAAATAGCCAAGTGGGTGAGGGACTGCATTTCAAAAACATATTTTGTATATAGGGTATATAATAAGCAAATTGTAATCCGTTCAAAGTATGTTTATATCAATTGTTGATTTGTGGGATTAGGGGACAGGAGGAAAGATAAGCATTCATTTACTTAGTGAACGGAGGCGGAGTTAATTACTCACGAGCACTTGGTGCAATCCATGGGATTGAGCGGTTCCCATTTAAGATATGTGACGTGATTAGTTGTCAGAAAGAACGTTTTAAATAAAAAAAATGTTTCATATTATTACTCAATCATTATTTTGGATACAAATCATTTTAGCATTTGTCTAGAGGACAAACTGGTTGAAAAAACTTTTTCCACTCTTCATTGTCAATTAATGTTCATTATTGCCTTTTTTTCTTCAATTTTGTCGAAAGACCAATCTTGGCAACACGCTTATGCTGCTCTGAGTATTGCTTTTCTATGCCTTGTTGTTGGATTACCACTTTGGTGGAAGACTACTACCACCTATCGAGCCAGTCTACCTGATAGTGAGATCACAGGCATTGCCAGTCTGCAGGTAATAATTACCTCTTCTCTTACCAATATGTGGTGGACCAATAGAAAGTCTTGGTATGGTAATGGCAGAAAAAAAACAAAAACATTTTTTCTTCTGTGTGTAATATTTTTTTCTAAGAACTAGGCATGCATAATTTTTTTTCTATGATTTTTCTTGTGCATTTTTTTTTTTTCAATTCTGCCATTGCCCTCCTCTTGATTTTCTAATTAGTGGTCTACCACTAATTTAAGTTATCTAAGGTTTGTTCTTTTTTTCAACATTGTAACCTGTATGATTGATTAAATGAAAAAGATGGTTGTTCTCATCATTGGTGATACTGTTGTCCTTGTGGTTCCTTGTGGTTACAGTCCAAACTTTTAGTGACCACCATTATATGAAGACCATTTAACTATTGTGATTACCTTTGAGCAGTCCCAATGCAATTGGCCTGTAAACATTCGTTCAGTACCTTGGCTGGTTACTATACACAGGTTTGAATATTCAGTACCTTAGCTAGTCACTATACACAGGTTTTACTGTATTTACTACCTTGGCTAGTTACTGTATTCACTACCTTGGCTTGTCACTATACACAGGTTTTACTGTATTCACTACCTTGGCTAGTCACTATACACAGGTTTGAATATTCACTACCTTGGCTAGTCACTATAAACAGATTTTACTGTATTCACTACCTTGGCTCGTCAATATACACATGTTTGAATATTCTCTACCTTGGCTAATCACTATACACAGGTTTTACTGTATTCAGTACCTTGGCTAGTCACTATACACAGGTTTTACTGTATTCAGTCCCTTGGCTAGTCACTATACACATGTTTTACTGTATTCACTACCTTGGCTAGTCACTATACACAGGTTTGAATATTCACTACCTTGGCTAGTCACTATAAACAGATTTTACTGTATTCACTACCTTGGCTCGTCAATATACACATGTTTGAATATTCTCT